GAGGAACACAGGATAAACTCCGTTGACGTCGACCAAGAAATCGTGCTCAGCTGCCTAATGAAACCAGATGCAGGGAAACCAATGGGTCCTGATAATCTTCATCCAAGGCTTCTCAACGAGCTATCAGCTCACATAGCTGGCCGATTGACCACGATCTTCAAGCTGTCTCTCCTAAACGGAGTGTTACCGCGTGACTGTAAAGACGCCTTAGTAACCCCCATCCACAAACAACAATTTGTTATCCAGAGCACACCATGGCTTCAGAGAGAACCTCTCATGTCTGTCAAATCTTATCACTACAAGAGAAAGCTGGGTCAAATTAAGGGACAACAGAAGACCCGTTGACGTCTTCATAGACTTCAGCGAAGCCTTCGATAAAGTTCCTCACAAAAAACTACTGATGAAGCTGGAAAGTCTTGGTATCAAAGGCAGTTTACTAAACTGGATTAGGGAATTCCTCATAGATAGGAGGCAGAGGGTTAGGATCAGCTCGAAACTCTCCTCCTGGACAGCAGTACGCAGCGGAGTGCCACAAGGCACAATACTCGGACATCTCCTATTTATTTTGTATACCAATGAGTTATCTCTGCTCACTGATTCCCCTATGGTCCTATACGCAGATGACTTAAAAATTTAGAGAGAGCTGAAGGGCAACAGTGATACGTTCACGTTGCAAGAGGAACTCAACAAATTGTCAGAGTGGTCCAGAGAATAGATGCTCCAGATCAATGTAGCAAAATGTACAACCATGCGTATCGGTCAAGCAAGCACCGGCTCCTATGAACTAGAGGGAATAACTCTACCATCAGTTCACACTCATTTGGAATAAGGTATCATAGTTAGCCCCGACTTAAAAACTACAGCACACTGCCACGCGGTGGCTGCACGTAGTTTCAGATCCTCATGGACAATTCGCAGAGCCTTTACTAAAATCAACAGAGATATGTTCACCTGCTTATATACATCTCTGGTGAGGTCAAGGCTAGAAAACGGTATCCAGGCAGCCAGTCCCTGTCTTAAAGGGGACTCACACATTCTAGAAAGGGTTCAAAGGAAGGCAACATGTATGATTCTCGACATGACTAACTTTTCATACTAGGAAAGACTAGACAGTTTAAATCTCTTCTCTTTGTCATACCGAGGGCAGAGAAGAGATTTAATCACAATGTTTAAAATTTTAAATAATGACTGCGGAGCTGACGCTTTCTCTCTTTTCTTTCCCACCACGTCGAAACAGCCTAGAGGACATAGCAGGAGAGTTCAAAAGACAAGAAGAAATCATATTGCTGTTGAGTTCTGGTATTCACACCGAGTCATTAACTCTTGGAAGTGACTCCCAGAAGAAGTGGTGTCTGCAACCTCAACTGATTCATTCAAGAAGGGTTTGGACGAGCACAGAAACTTACTAGAAAAGGATTAACATCAGGCTCCAAACCTTCTATACTCAACCAATAAATCTAAATTTCAATATCCTTATAGCCCTTGGTTTGATCAAACCAGATTTCGTCATTAGGAAGAGGAGATAAAGTCACATCAAGGTTAAAGACGAATCCCTTTGTCATCTTATCTTTCATAAATTCCACGGTTATGGAAACTCTCAAATCCTGAGGTTTCACAATTGCTTACGTTTATGCTAAGCAGCCTGTTTCGCCACACTACACCAATTATAGGCAAAACCACTGTGTAAAAAACGGAGCCTACAAGTAACTAGATAACTTTGCAGTAACATTCAATAAAACGAGTCTTAATTTGTAAAGCTTTCTCAGGATTTATAAGGAGAATCACACGGTAAATTGGGATGACAACTTAACCACGACGTATGATTCTATAGAACGTAAACTCAGTTGCCATAGAATAAGGAAACATAGAAATTAGACTACAAACAAACCGTAAAGCCAGAGCGACTGTTGAGTGTTGAAGGGGCGAGGGTATAGGTTATGACGGTTTAATTTCTCCGCGCCTGAGGTTTTCTGGTCTTTCATTGGCTGGAACAGTGGCGGTAAGTTTATATTTGACTTTGGTAGGTTGGTGATGTCGTGTGCAGCCGTGTGTGCTTGCGTCGTGCATTGTTTCTAAGGAGATTTGATGAATGTAATTGTAAACTTAGACTTATAAAACGTGTTGTTCTTCCGTTTTTGTGCATGTACAAGGCTTGGTTTGTCATACACCCGGTTGTTTGGCCTGTCGGTTGCCTGCGATGTCAACGAACCCGTTGGTTTTTGTGCTGTTCTAAAATTTATTGTTTCGTGCGGTATATCTTGATGGATATTGATCAGTCATGCATTTGAATATTGCTTTGTTTACTGAATTATCTTGAAATAGTTGTGACATAGATGGATGCTAATTGATGAAGCCTTTTTTGAAGTTCACAGCAGGTAGTCAATGCGACAGGAAGCAGTGCAGACGTTAGTGGAATTTTTGGTGAAGTAATGCTTGGAAGGCGTTACTTCAGCTGGGAGGAATTTGAGAAAGCATTAGAAGAATTTCAAAAAGTGAGGAAGTTATTTAATGCTAACAATGTAGTTGTCCTGCACTCACTACGTCCGTATTCAGAGCAAAAGAATAGCGGATGATATATTCAAGTACGCATGTGTTGGTTTTAAATGTACTTTTGGAGTGCATCGTGTAAGGCCTGGCTTGAAATTGAGAAACAAGTCGTAAGAAGAATTATACTATGCTATTATGAATATTTAAGGTCTAAATGTTGCAATTGTCCTTCTTCGATTCGGGTGGTTTTGCATATTAGTGAATACGTAATTACTGCTCACAAAATGGTGCATAACCATCCATGCGATAGGGTGTACATGCAGAATGACCCCTGGTATAGAAGACTAACAGTAGAAGAGAAAGAAAACTTGGAACCCCTTCTTCAGCAATCGCACTCATCCGATGAAATAATTGCGCATGTTAAGGAAAAATTCCGCAAGGATATAACTCGTAGTGACGTTAAAAATATGAAAGCCCTAGTTAATAAAGGTAACTTAGACGTAATTGTTATTTACTTAAGGTATGTCGAGCCGTCGTGACATTTTTGATTTCCTGAAATGCCGTGGGAAGTTAATGGAGTATTACTCAGATGAACCTACGCGGAATTCACTAACAAGAGTCTGTTTTTCAACTAATGAGCAAATCCAGTTGTATAAACAGTTCCCGGAGGTTGTCGGTATTGACTCTACATATAATACGAATAAAGGGAAGTAAGTTTACCAATTCATTAATCAACATGCAGGTATTCATTGTTCCAATTACTTGTGACGGATAATTTTGGTTGTGGGCGACCAGTGTTATTCGCTTGGACTCGAAAGGAATTCAAGCGTGATGTAGTATGGATTTTGGACTCATTTAGTCAAATAATGGAAGATACATCTAAAACTGAGACATTTATTATGGACTGTGCGCAATGTGAAATAGGAGCAGTGAAGTTAACGCACAGGCAAGCGCACATTGTGCTCTGTTCTTTCCATGTTTGTCGTGCATTCTGTCGTAAAGTAAATTTTTTTTAGCACATTAAAAATTTTACTTGCAGACACGGAATCCCATTGTTAAGAACTATTTATGTCGCTTATTTCAGTGTAAAAGTAGATCAGAGTAATGCCTGTAATATTTTCATTTTCCAGATTTAATTTCTATTATAGAGTTATAAGCAGATTGGATGTTCGTGTCAGTCAATATATACAGCGTCGTTGGATGAGTAGACGAGAATTGTGGGCAGCAGCTTTCAGAGATCACGTGCTGACTTATGGTAATGCTACTAATAATCGAGTAGAAAGTTCACACAGGCAAGTGAAGCGTACTTGCAAGAGACAGCAGAAAGCTGCTGAAGTTATAATGTGTCAACAGTTATAATTCAGCAGGAGTCGATGATTTCTCGTCGCAAGTACCGCTTCACTTGCCTGTGTGAACTTTCTACTCGATTATTAGTAGCATTACCATAAGTCAGCACGTGATCTCTGAAAGCTGCTGCCCACAATTCTCGTCTACTCATCCAACGACGCTGTATATATTGACTGACACGAACATCCAATCTGCTTATAACTCTATAATAGAAATTAAATCTGGAAAATGAAAATATTACAGGCATTACTCTGATCTACTTTTACACTGAAATAAGCGACATAAATAGTTCTTAACAATGGGATTCCGTGTCTGCAAGTAAAATTTTTAATGTGCTAAAAAAATTTACTTTACGACAGAATGCACGACAAACATGGAAAGAACAGAGCACAATGTGCGCTTGCCTGTGCGTTAACTTCACTGCTCCTATTTCACATTGCGCACAGTCCATAATAAATGTCTCAGTTTTAGATGTATCTTCCATTATTTGACTAAATGAGTCCAAAATCCATACTACATCACGCTTGAATTCCTTTCGAGTCCAAGCGAATAACACTGGTCGCCCACGACCAAAATTATCCGTCACAAGTAATTGGAACAATGAATACCTGCATGTTGATTAATGAATTGGTAAACTTACTTCCCTTTATTCGTATTATATGTAGAGTCAATACCGACAACCTCCGGGAACTGTTTATACAACTGGATTTGCTCATTAGTTGAAAAACAGACTCTTGTTAGTGAATTCCGCGTAGGTTCATCTGAGTAATACTCCATTAACTTCCCACGGCATTTCAGGAAATCAAAAATGTCACGACGGCTCGACATACCTTAAGTAAATAACAATTACGTCTAAGTTACCTTTATTAACTAGGGCTTTCATATTTTTAACGTCACTACGAGTTATATCCTTGCGGAATTTTTCCTTAACATGCGCAATTATTTCATCGGATGAGTGCGATTGCTGAAGAAGGGGTTCCAAGTTTTCTTTCTCTTCTACTGTTAGTCTTCTATACCAGGGGTCATTCTGCATGTACACCCTATCGCATGGATGGTTATGCACCATTTTGTGAGCAGTAATTACGTATTCACTAATATGCAAAACCACCCGAATCGAAGAAGGACAATTGCAACATTTAGACCTTAAATATTCATAATAGCATAGTATAATTCTTCTTACGACTTGTTTCTCAATTTCAAGCCAGGCCTTACACGATGCACTCCAAAAGTACATTTAAAACCAACACATGCGTACTTGAATATATCATCCGCTATTCTTTTGCTCTGAATACGGACGTAGTGAGTGCAGGACAACTACATTGTTAGCATTAAATAACTTCCTCACTTTTTGAAATTCTTCTAATGCTTTCTCAAATTCCTCCCAGCTGAAGTAACGCCTTCCAAGCATTACTTCACCAAAAATTCCACTAACGTCTGCACTGCTTCCTGTCGCATTGACTACCTGCTGTGAACTTCAAAAAAGGCTTCATCAATTAGCATCCATCTATGTCACAACTATTTCAAGATAATTCAGTAAACAAAGCAATATTCAAATGCATGACTGATCAATATCCATCAAGATATACCGCACGAAACAATAAATTTTAGAACAGCACAAAAACCAACGGGTTCGTTGACATCGCAGGCAACCGACAGGCCAAACAACCGAGTGTATGACAAACCAAGCCTTGTACATGCACAAAAACGGAAGAACAACACGTTTTATAAGTCTAAGTTTACAATTACATTCATCAAATCTCCTTAGAAACAATGCACGACGCAAGCACACACGGCTGCACACGACATCACCAACCTACCAAAGTCAAATATAAACTTACCGCCACTGTTCCAGCCAATGAAAGACCAGAAAACCTCAGGCGCGGAGAAATTAAACCGTCATAACCTATACCCTCGCCCCTTCAACACTCAACAGTCGCTCTGGCTTTACGGTTTGTTTGTAGTCTAATTTCTATGTTTCCTTATTCTATGGCAACTGAGTTTACGTTCTATAGAATCATACGTCGTGGTTAAGTTGTCATCCCAATTTACCGTGTGATTCTCCTTATAAATCCTGAGAAAGCTTTACAAATTAAGACTCGTTTTATTGAATGTTACTGCAAAGTTATCTAGTTACTTGTAGGCTCCGTTTTTTACACAGTGGTTTTGCCTATAATTGGTGTAGTGTGGCGAAACAGGCTGCTTAGCGTAAACGTAAGCAATTGTGAAACCTCAGGATTTGAGAGTTTCCATAACCGTGGAATTTATGAAAGATAAGATGACAAAGGGATTCGTCTTTAACCTTGATGTGACTTTATCTCCTCTTCCTAATGACGAAATCTGGTTTGATCAAACCAAGGGCTATAAGGATATTGAAATTTAGATTTATTGGTTGAGTATAGAAGGTTTGGAGCCTGATGTTAATCCTTTTCTAGTAAGTTTCTGTGCTCGTCCAAACCCTTCTTGAATGAATCAGTTGAGGTTGCAGACACCACTTCTTCTGGGAGTCACTTCCAAGAGTTAATGACTCGGTGTGAATACCAGAACTCAACAGCAATATGATTTCTTCTTGTCTTTTGAACTCTCCTGCTATGTCCTCTAGGCTGTTTCGACGTGGTGGGAAAGAAAAGAGAGAAAGCGTCAGCTCCGCAGTCATTATTTAAAATTTTAAACATTGTGATTAAATCTCTTCTCTGCCCTCGGTATGACAAAGAGAAGAGATTTAAACTGTCTAGTCTTTCCTAGTATGAAAAGTTAGTCATGTCGAGAATCATACATGTTGCCTTCCTTTGAACCCTTTCTAGAATGTGTGAGTCCCCTTTAAGACAGGGACTGGCTGCCTGGATACCGTTTTCTAGCCTTGACCTCACCAGAGATGTATATAAGCAGGTGAACATATCTCTGTTGATTTTAGTAAAGGCTCTGCGAATTGTCCATGAGGATCTGAAACTACGTGCAGCCACCGCGTGGCAGTGTGCTGTAGTTTTTAAGTCGGGGCTAACTATGATACCTTATTCCAAATGAGTGTGAACTGATGGTAGAGTTATTCCCTCTAGTTCATAGGAGCCGGTGCTTGCTTGACCGATACGCATGGTTGTACATTTTGCTACATTGATCTGGAGCATCTATTCTCTGGACCACTCTGACAATTTGTTGAGTTCCTCTTGCAACGTGAACGTATCACTGTTGCCCTTCAGCTCTCTCTAAATTTTTAAGTCATCTGCGTATAGGACCATAGGGGAATCAGTGAGCAGAGATAACTCATTGGTATACAAAATAAATAGGAGATGTCCGAGTATTGTGCCTTGTGGCACTCCGCTGCGTACTGCTGTCCAGGAGGAGAGTTTCGAGCTGATCCTAACCCTCTGCCTCCTATCTATGAGGAATTCCCTAATCCAGTTTAGTAAACTGCCTTTGATACCAAGACTTTCCAGCTTCATCAGTAGTTTTTTGTGAGGAACTTTATCGAAGGCTTCGCTGAAGTCTATGAAGACGTCAACGGGTCTTCTGTTGTCCCTTAATTTGACCCAGCTTTCTCTTGTAGTGATAAGATTTGACAGACATGAGAGGTTCTCTCTGAAGCCATGGTGTGCTCTGGATAACAAATTGTTGTTTGTGGATGGGGGTTACTAAGGCGTCTTTACAGTCACGCGGTAACACTCCGTTTAGGAGAGACAGCTTGAAGATCGTGGTCAATCGGCCAGCTATGTGAGCTGATAGCTCGTTGAGAAGCCTTGGATGAAGATTATCAGGACCCATTGGTTTCCCTGCATCTGGTTTCATTAGGCAGCTGAGCACGATTTCTTGGTCGACGTCAACGGAGTTTATCCTGTGTTCCTCTGATGCAGCCAGAGCTGATACTATGGAGAGTGATGACTCCTGTGTAAAGACTTGAGAGACGTAGTCTGCCACTACTGCTTTTTCTTGATTTTCTTCGATTATGTCATTGTTAATAGTCAGGTTTGGGACACCATTGGATGTCTTATTCCTGAAGTACATGTACGAGAATATTTTCTTAGGTTGTGCCGTTGCATTTTGAGCCAGATGTGCTTCAAACTTCATCCTTGATTGGCGGATTTCCGCAATAGCTTCATTCCTAGCAGTTTTACATAATTTCCTGGTCTCAGGAGTCTCAAGTGTGGCAAAGAGGTTCCAACATTTGTGTTTACGTCTGAGTAACTTACGAATCACTCGGTTTATCCAAGGGGGGCAATGTTTCCGACCCTTTGGGACAGACCAAGGGATGGAAAGTTCAGTTACTTGGGCATAAAGTTGTTTAAATTGGTTCCATGCCGCTCCTACTTGGGACTCTGGGTTGCTGTACCAGTTCACTGAGTTGGCTGCTGAGACAGTCACATTTATATCAGCTTACCAAACGTTTGGTTGAGCTGGGGTTTTGGCCCTTGCTGCTGTTACTGTGAACTTGAAAGTGAGCACAGCATGACCACTTCTTCCTAAAGGAGGAAGGTGTTGTATGAGATCCACATCCTCACCGTGGGAGAACACTAGGCCCAGAGTTGAGGAGTGCTGCGAGTCATAGCGCATGGGCTTAATGACATGTTGGACAAGGGCTAGCGATATACTAGATTCCAGCAGTTTATGATCAAAGGAGTTGACTGAAGATGGCCTTGTAACGCTCGCCCAGTCAACTGTTAGGGCGTTAAAGTTGCCGACTACGAGACTTCGACATTTCGAAGTCTAGGAGCCTAGCTTCTCTATTAGGAAGTCGTCTGCACTGCAATCAGGACTGCGCTATATAGCAATGAGGTCAATATCTTGGCCTATGCATTTAAGTCTGCAGCGTAGTTCGCATGATTCACTTTTGTGAGCGAGTGCTTCGATGCTACGCACAGTTAAGCATTTCTTGAGGTAGATGACTATGCCACCTCTTATGCGGCTTAGTCGGCCCACTCTATGCACTTCGGAGTTTGGCAGGTTAACTTCGTTATCAGTGACATCAGGTGTGAGCCATGTCTCTGTGATGATAATTACGTCCGGATTTCCGGAGTCTATCATATTACCCAGCTCAGTCCATTTGTTCAACAGGCTGTGGGCATTCGTGTAGCAAACTGTTAACTCAGTTTGGTGCTTCAGCGGCCTGACAGCAAATAACTTATGTACAACAGCAAACATAGTTCAAAGTTATAACGCATAACGTAGGACCTCTCAAATAATTTATTTGTATTGAAAGACGACGAGAAATCTGAGTGTTTCTAGAAAATCCCGTTGTTGTCATTGTTCGATGCAGCTACCGGTCAATAAAGCAGGCAAAATATCTGGTTTCATCACGGTGGTTGCCAGCTCACCTGTTCAATCCAGATCTACATTTTTCGAAAGTATATTTTAGAAAATTCAATATATCCAGTACTGGTCTATTGTTGTTCAATTCTTATGCGTCACAGTTTTTATGTAACCGTCCTTGGGTGCCTAACAATGCGGTTAATAGCAGTCCATATCTGTTACGTGTGCTTATGGTTTTGCTCGCCGAAGCAAATCCGTAGTTGTTACAGTTGGTGTAGACCGAACCTCATCTTACATACATTCCAATATTGCATGTAGGTACTGTTCACGTTATGACAAGTGTCTAAGTAGGCCGTATTAAAACTAGTATAAGCGGTTAGTTCGGCATTTGCCAAAAGATTCAGATTACAACAAACCAGGACCATGTAATTCTAAACTCTATTGTTTTTGGTTTTTAGGATGTGTGTATAACTGAGTCTGGTGAAGAACTCCTCAATCGTATAACTACATTACTTAAAAATGTTGCCGATTTCACGAATACGCACACAATCACTTTTCATCCAGTTGCAGCGCTGCGCACCTCGCCTTAATCAACCGCCGTTAAACTATACCAGCACAATTTCACTTCAGAAGTACTCATTTAACTCTCGGAAATGTGCCTGCAATTTAAGGACAATCCAGAACAGGCAGAATTTCTGTTCGAACAGTTCAACTGATGCCAAATGCGTATTGCCAGCTGTAACGCCATCAGATACTAGTGACACATCAAATGAAGCTGACGCAAAAGAAGGGAAAATGTACATAGAGTTCACTTGTAAAGTAATAAATTATTTCAGTTTAATTTTGTAAAACCTCAAATCTTTTTAACTACATTAGAAATGTTCCACTCGATCAAGCAAATATTTTTCAAAATTGGCATATGACAAGGGTGTAGTTATAATTCGCTGTGATGGATGTCAAAGTCTCCATTTGATTGCTGATAATCTTGGATGGATCAAAGACAAACATTGGTTTGTTTTCTTATTTCACGAACTTTCTTTTCTAATTGTTCATTAAAGGAAACTGGAAGATTTTGTCAAGGTTAACAAGAAATCTATATGCGTTGCATGAAACAGCGAGAATCGGTAGGTGAAGAGTTATGAATAAGTTCAATCAACCTCACTCGCGGTTCATCATGTACTGTAAGTTTCACTTCAGGTTTATTTCCCTATTTTGACATCTTAGTACATGATGGTGTAATACACTACCAAGGTTTCATTTTCAAGTTAACTGGTTTATATTCCGGCCTGACTCAAGTTTTGACTTATCCACTAGTTTATGCATCGAGACCCTGCCACATGCATGAATAGCAAATAATATACTTAGCCCTTAAGTCGTAAAAATGACTTGTCTATTATCAAATGTCGCATTTCTGTTAACTATGACCAACAATT